TGTGAATCAGAACCCCATCAGAAGAGGGATGCTTCGGCGGGCTAAGTTTCTCGAACTTAACCAACAACTGGTCATCACGTAACTTTCGGTAACGCTGTGCAGTGTCTACGATCGTAGCCTCGAGGGTTCCCAGCTCGTGTGCCGTAAGGATCGACCGACACCTTGAGGAGTGTTGTTCAATCATTTGTCGGTAATTGTGAATGCAATGGTGGCAATCTCTTATCATTACTCTGACCATTTTTCCATTGAAATCTGCCACTGTACGTTGGTACAGGTCAGATTTGTTTGCGGGGAGGGGCTGGCTCTCACTAAAGGTAGGCAGATTTGGATCCGTCAACGCCATCATCAGGTCCCAGATGTCCTCTGTTTATAGAAGAAGACGTAGGCACCCCTGGTCACAATACTGCTCGCGGCGACTTAGGTAACGATACTATCGTCAAACTTGTACCAATGCTTGTCAGTTTTATCAAGGCAGAAAGCAGTGTAGTGTCCAGATTGCATCGTTCCAGAATTATTCACAACCGCGTATAAGTCGTAAGAACACGACGCCGTTGGGGCTTGGGGAGTTACATGCGCCAGGCTGAGTTCCGTCAAATGGAAGTTGACAAGCGACCTAATCTTTCCACACGCGCCAGGACATTGGAATCTTTTCAGATGAATGATAAGGTATTTAGGCAGGCGCCAGATGTCAAAGATCTTGATAGCGTCCCTGGGTACCTTGCAGCCGGGACACATCCAGCAGCTGGAACCGGAAAGCGCTTCGGTTTTAATCAGTTATGATCGAGATATGGATTGCGATTAAGTTTGAGGTTAGGTTTAATGTTGTAGTTGCAGTCAGAGTTATGTTAGGGTTAAGATATAGGGCTATTTAGGCTTGCCGAAATTTATCGCGTGGTCAACTTTTTCTGTAGGCGATGCGTTCCTACCCCCGCGTCCCATCATCACCAGCAGACTTTAACTTCTTAATTTCCTTAGAAATTAATTTTTGTTCGTGGTATAAATCAATATGTTTGTCGTGCGTAGCTCGCGTCGAAGCGAACTTTGTAAAAGCTCACTACCGCTTTTCTCGATTTCTGGGACCAGGCTATCACAGATGCCGTAAAGCTGGCCCCTGGCCCGGCAACGAATAGCGCGCCTGCA